AAATAATAATAATAATAATATATTAATTTGTTTCAACTTCTTTACTTACAGCAAGCTATGTTGGAAAAAAGGCATTTCTTCGATGGAATCCAAAGATTTGATGAACCTGTATCAAAAATAACTTTAAATTGTTGTGGTGGTGTTCCTATGCTGATCGGACCGTAGTATTGAGCCTAAATCATAAAGAAAAGGTAAAAAATTATTTTATTTAATAATGGTTAAAAAATTTTTTACTCGATCAAAATTAAAAATGAAAAATTTACATCCAAATAATTTGATAGTGGTTCTGGAGTGGGGCCACCATAACGCATCCTTAAATGTTCGACATCAGTTCCTACTCCTCTTAAAGTACGTCTAGCACTTTGAAATTTGTACAGGGGCACTCTATCGAAATAAAAATACAAAATGAAAAAATTTACATACAAAAATTGTAATTTAATTAATAATATTTATTTTTATTCAATTTATTATAAGGGTCTTAATTCGAATGCATATATTTGTCTTACCGAATTAATTCGAAGTGCGCTCCACTGACAAGAAACAAAGCAGTGATTATTAACTTTAACATGTTTTACAAACTGAAGAACAAAAACTAAATGCCGGCTATTATAACATGTCTGTCGTATAAATTATGACACAGTAAAAACCGTTTAAATTTCTCCCTGTCATTGTCACGTGATTTTTAATTAACTTACGACAAATTTCTCTACTTTTGAGAAACGTACATGAAAGGAAGGAACGTGCGGTTAAAAAATTTTTATCTTTCTACGTGAAATTTTTGTATTGAAAAAAATTACTTTGAATACGCGTTTTAAATATTAAATTTATTCAAATTATAATTTAAAGTAAATACATAAAAAATTTTTTTAGTTTGTTTTCGATTAGTGTTCATCAAAAAATATAAAATATTAATAAATAGGTAAGCATTTTTTTTTTTTTCGAATATGAAAAGTTTCTTAAAACATCTTCTTCTTCATCTTCTCTAATGTGAATTTTGTGAAAATCCAATGAGTTTTTTCTCAACGTTGTACGTCGAATAAAAACGTGATAAAAATGAAATTCCCAATCCCCAACCAGAATAATTTGAATTAATTCTGAACGATGAAAAAGCTGACAAACAAACTCTGACAGAACCCAAAGTCATCTAAAACAAATTTTTTATACTTCTTATTCGCCATTTTCACATTTTTAACTAAATAATACTTAAAATATGTATAATTACTTGTTCTATGTAATCAATTCCGGATAACGTAAAATTTGTATCATTTATAACGAATATTATTTTCGGGAGTTTATGAATTATGTTACAGGATATCTGAAAATGATATTTAATTTTAAGGTTTCTACGATCGTTTTTTGGGTAAGTATTAAAAATCATTTAAGTAAAAAACCTTTCTTACTTCGTAACGGTTTAAATAAGGTATAAAAAGAGCTCCGAAAAATCTATTGATTTGTTTTATGTCTTTTTTTGGACCGTAAATAAGTACGTCACCGGTATTGGGAAACGCGCTACATCCTCTTGGACAAATAACGACAGATCTTTTAGAAAATGGCGTCGTATTATTAAGAATTATTTTATCCATTTTAAATTCCCATATATATTTATTTGTTACTGTAACGTATGTAAATTTCAATTGATCGTTAACGTCTCCAAATAGTAGAGTTCCTCCTTTTGACGTTGTTTCATCTCTAAAACGATACATAGAATAAAAATCCTCTCATTCATTTTCCCAGTAACGAAATTACATTACCTGTTAAAATAAAAAGAAAACATTTCTTTAAACGACGGATTATTTCGTAATAAATTTAAAAAAAATGGAAAAATTTTATTTCCTTCGTTAAATCCGAAACCCAAACCGACAACTCCATCAATTTCGCTATTCATTAAATGCAATGCGGATATTTCTTCACCTTCAACAAATGTTTGATTTGTCGCGTTCACGTGACCCACCTGACAAACATACAAACAAACATCAATAATGACTTCGATCGATCAATCAATCAATCAATCAATCAATCAATTACGTGAAATTTATCGATGGATACGAATCCTTTAATAAAACCCTTATCGTCATTTATAATAAAATTTTTCCCACTTGGAATATAAGTGGATGATTGTAACGAATTATATTTTCTTTTTGTAGCACATGCCGGATATAAAAATGGCGAACATAAATCGGATGTTATCCAACTGTGTGTCACGCTCGTATCAAACATGACGTTAAATTTTTGTCCTGGATGACCGATAAGGAGCTCCCCGTAAAATTGTGACTGTAAGTTTTTTTAAAAAAATTTTTTTATATTTTCTCTTTCTCTCGCTCTCTCTCTCTCTCTAAACTAATAAAATAATTTATTAACATTTTACTCACCTGATAATATTTATATAATTTAATCGAATCATTTTTAAATGATTTTTCAATATTATTATTATTATTATTATTAACGTCGCCATTATTTGTAGAGGGTGTAAAACGTTCGTTGGAAATATTTTTAACGATTTTTTTCTTATAAATATTTATTCTAAAAAACAAACAAACAAAACCGTTAATTAATATATCAAAAATTTTTTGAAACAAATCAAAAATATTAAAAAAAAAAAAAAAAAAAAAAAAAAACATTTTCTAACGTACCTCTTATTATCATAACAATCAACCGTTATTGTTATTATTATTATTAATAATGAAAATATTAAAAAATTCATAATCACTTTTTTTTAAAACAAAAACCATACGACACGTTCTCGTTTTTAAAAATATTTATACAATTAATTAATATGAAAACTTATTTTAAAAAAAAAGGTCAGAGGTCAAATTGAACTTTTTTTTACAAAAAAATCTAATTAAATTAAAACAAATTTTTTTTTTTTTTTTTTTTCGTGTCTGCGCGTGTGTGTGTGTGTGTGTGCACGAATCAATTAATCACAATAATGATAATTATTAAATAAATGATAAACTTAAAAACTTTAAAGGATATACAAAAAAAAAATTACGACAAATAATAATAATAATTTTTTTAATATTTATTATTACCTAATCAAACTACTTAGCAAAACTTGACAAAAAAAAAAAAATCTGTACATGTACTGACAGAAGAAAATAATAAAAAAAATTTCAAACTTGTATTATTATTATTATTATTATTATTATTATTATTATTATTATTATTATTATTATTAAGAAATTGTTCTACCCACACAACCTTGTCTCTTATTTATTTATTTTTTTTTTTCAAATCCATTGCACGAACCTCCTGAATTATTTATTTTTTTAATCAATTTCTTTAATTTTTTTTTTTTCATTTTTATTTAAAAAAAAAAAATTTTTTTTATAAAACAATTAATAATAATAATAATAGTAATAATAGTAATGATGATCATAATGATATTAGTATCAAAGCGACAATAATGAGCTCCAGAAAAAATTTTTTGTTTTATTTTTACAAAACAGTCTTAAAAATTTTTTATAATCCCCTGATATGATTTTAATGTTTTTTTGTAAAAATTGGCACCGATAAAATTTTAACTGACCGAACACAAATTAGTTAAAGTTAATTATTATTAATAATATTTTTCACAAAGTATTTAAAAAAGAAAAAATTTTTTTTTAATAGTTTTTGAGCTTTTTTTTAGTTCCCCCTCCTTCCCACCCTTCCCTCTTTTTGGATACTACCCCTTCTCTTACATTTCCCTTTCATTAACAACAACATTAATAATAATAATAATATTAATTTATATTCTGTTAGGAGCTCACATAACGCTTCTTCTTCTTCTTCTTTCTTATATGAAATGTGTTGCCGTGTTAATGTTAATCTATCATCATCATTATCATCATAATGATTGTTTTTAATATAACACGGCAAAACATTTTTTTTTTTTTTTTTTTTTTGCGAAATCAAAACAAAAAGTAGTAGTAATCGAAACATTAAAATATGTAAAATAAAATAAAATAAAAATCACATCAAATTGAGAAAAAAAAGAAAAGAAAAAATTGTTATTATTAATACAACATATTTTTCAAATAATATTTAATCAATCAATCAATCAATTTGAAATAATCATCTCAAATTCAAGCAAACAAATCAATATATTTAAATTTATGTATACATAAATACATACTTGTAGTGAATTTTTTATTAACTTTTTTTTTTTTTACTTAAGTAAGCATCACGCGCAATTTTATTTATTAATTTATTAATATTTAAAATTAATAAAACAAAAAAAAAGAAAAGAAAAAAACCGAAGAGAGAAAGAGAGAGCAAGTTTTTTATCATTTTTTTTTTTTAAATTTATATTATTATTATTATTATTATTATTGTTATTTTAATTATCATTATTATTATTATTATCATTATTAAATCAAAGTTTAAAATTCCAAAAAAAAAGGGTTCTTTTCTCTTCTTACTTTCTCCCCTTGGATTATACATATATTTATATATATATATATTTTTTTTTTGATGAAATTTGCTTGAATTTTTTAGAAAGAAACAAACAAAAACAAAAACAAACAAACAAACAAACAAATAATATTGAAAAAAAGGAATGTTTTTTTTTTTTTTTTTTTGACAATAGAAAAAATTTTTAATTCCCCCTTTTTCTTTGTCAACGAAAAATTAAAAAATTAAGTAAAAAATTAAAATGCACTACTAATATTAATATTAATAATAATAATAATAATTATTATTATTATTATTATGTTAAAAATGATGATAATAATGACAGAAAATGATCAAATTTTACATAATGTTTTCGCAAAAAAAAAAAAAACAAAAAACAAAAAACAAAAAACAAAAACTTTTCCTTCTATTTTCTTTCATGAAATTAATATTTTTAATAAAGAAAAATTTTTTTTTTCTGGGGGGTGGGGGGTGGGTGGGGGTGGGTTTCTCTTATAATCGTGTTTTTTCCAAGACTTTCAATTTAAAACAAATAATAATAATAATAATAATAATAATAGTAAAATAAAATAAAATAAAACATTTTTTTTATTCATTCCACCGACACACAATGAATTAAAATTATTTTTAATTATTATTATTATTATTAAAATGCACATGACGGATGCAAAACGCAGCATTATTATCATTATTATCATTATTATTATTATTATTATTATTATTATTATTATTTTCTTTAATTTTTCCGTTTTTCTCAATTAATCAATTTATCAGATTTCGAAAAAAAAATTATAACCGGAAGTAAAAAAAAAAATAATTTTTTTTCACAAAGCAAAATCATGAATTTTTATTATTTATACAAGAAAAAAAAAAAAAAAAATGGCGGCCGATGAAATTTTTTTTTTTTTTTTTTAAATATAACAAAATTAAAACAAAAAAAGGAATTTAATTTGTTAAATATTAAATCAATTTAAAATTAAATAAATAAATAAGACACAACCGGTTATGTAATAATAATAATAATAATAATAATAATTCAATTTTTATTTCAAATTTCAAATTTTAAATTTTTTAAAATTAATCAATAATAATAATAATGAAATCTAATTTTATTTTTTTTGTCAAAGAAATAACAACAACAACAATAATAATAATAATAATAATAATAATAAATAATTATTATTATTATTTAAAAATTGTCGCCATTTTACTTTCTTTTTTTTTCACATAAAAAAAAAATCAAAATCAATCAATTAATCAATCAATCAATCAATCTATTAAAGCTTTTTTATTAACAACTAAAAAAAATCAAATCAAATTAGTTTTTTTTTTTTTTTAAGTACAAAAAACCACACAAAAACTTGTTTTATTATTATTATTATTATTATTATTATTATTAAACCTAAAAACATAATAACTCGTTTAACTAAATTTTATTTCTCTTTATTACCTCATCGTTATTGCTCCCAGGTACACAACACAATTGTATTTCTCCCATCCCCCGCTTTTTTTTTTTTTTTTTTTTAATAAAATTTAACATATTTAAATTGTTTAAACGTAATGTCACAAATGATAAAAAGAAAACATAAATACATATGTTATGATTAGTTAATAAATTCGCGTACCTGAAACGTCACAAATCAAACAATTTTTCACGGCGTTTCACGGCATCCTTAATAAAATTTAAAAAAATTAAAAACAAAAAAAGTTTTTGTGTATGTTTAAGCTAACATGTACAGTTTTTTTTTTAGCAATACCTGAATTTCGATCGTTTCGATTTGAAACATAATCAAGATGTACCTGATTTTTAAAAAAATTCGTAAATCATAGTTTTAAATATTTTATTTATTTTTCTTGTCTAGTTTTTTTTTTCTTTAAAAAATGTTAAAGAGAAACCCTTTTTTGTTGCAAAAACTTTAGAAAACTTATTTTAAACATTAATAATAATAATAATAATAATAAAAGTAGTAGTAGTAGTAGTAGTAATGATAATAATAATAATAGTAATAGTAAATTTATGTAACTGAAAAAGTGTGAAGTTTTTTTTTTTTTTTTTTTCTTCTTCTTTTTTGCTTATTGTTTTTATTTTTATTTTAAAAAAAAAAAAGTTTTTTTTTTTAGTTTTCTTCTTTCCTTCCTATTTTCTTTCTTTTTTTTTTTTTTTTCATTTTTCTTTTTTCTTTTACTTTCTTTCTCCTTCTTTTCTTATTGTCACAAAATGACAGTTGTTGTTGTTGTTGTTGTTATATAAAACAAACTTATTACGCGTGCTTTTGGTAACTCATATTTTTCGCTTCTCCTCCACTCTCCGTTCCAACCTCCGATTCTCCATTTGTCGAATCTTTCTTTTCATCATTTGAGATCTTTGCTTTTTTTTCTGGTGTCACTCCCTCTCCCGGTCCTGATGGTGTTTTACCATCGGTCGTGTCACCGGCTCCCGATTTTCTTTTCGTTCCCGGTGCCGCCGCCGCCGCCGCCGCCGCCGCCGCCGCCGCCTCCTTTGAATCTGTTTCTAGGGCGAAAGAAAATTATTTATTAAAAAAAAAAAAAAAAAATATTTTCATTCATAATTTGATCGTTAACACACACACACGCACACGCACACGCACACGAACACACGCAAAACTCAAGTTTAATTAATAAAATATTTTATTCGGCCAATTAATAATAATTCTGATAACAAAAAAAAAAAATAATATTCATTAATAGACTGATAAAAAAAAAAAAAAAAGGTTTAAAAATTGTGTTAGGTCAAGTAAAATTTACTTAATTTCGATTTAGGGTTTTTTTTTAAATAATAAAACTATTGATAAAAAAAAAGGGAACGTACGACTTATGACGACTTATTATTATTATTATTATTATTATTACACGGTCAATAAGTTAATAAATAAATAAATGAACGACCCGTAAAGTCTAGGAATTTTCACGATAAACTTAATTAAAGATGAGAGAGAGAGAGAGAGAGGGGGGAGAGAGAGTGTATGAAGGAGAGAGAGAGAGAGAATGAGAGAGATAGTGTGAGAGTGAGAGAGAAAGAGAGACAAAAAATAAAAATAAAAACTCACTCACATGTAAATATTTAATAAGGCAACCTTTTAGTGAAATTAAATTTCTAATCATTATCATCGCCATGACAATAATTCGAAAGTCCCCCCCGTCCCCCCTTTCAAAACAAAAAAAAGATCAATATAAGGTACAAAAAAAAAATTGGCGGGAAAATTCTGTACACGAGGACTGGGGCCGCGGGGAGCGGGGGGTCTTTTTTCTACTTGTATTGTATATGAGAGAAATATGAGAAGAAAAATCAAAATGGCGGAAATCGGTTAGAGTTTGCTAACTTTAAAAATCGTCGTCGTCGTCGTCGGAATCGAATAACATCTTACGTTTGAATTTTATTTTATATATAATTTTTTTTGTATTTTGTGTGTGAAAAAAAGAAAGAAAGAAAAAAAACTGAATAGTTCAGCAAACATTTTTTCTTCTTTTTTAAAAATCAATTGTTTGTAATAACTGTATATGATGAATTTTCGGTTTAGAAAAATTATCAATTTTCAATTGCCAGGAATGAGGATTAATTTTCCTTTCCCCCTCCCCCCACTCCCTCCCTTCTCTTACTTTTGACCAACTCTTTTCTTTTTTTTTTTTTTTCTTATTAAAAACCTTACCTCCGTTCGTTTCAGGTTCGCTCTTTTCATTTGTTTCACTCTTTCCATTTTCTTTTGGTTTCGAGTCCTTATCAACCTTTTTCGAATCCGTTTTACCATCTTCGACATCGACTACCTTCTTTTCCGTTTCCTTTTCGACCTTTTCAACGTCACTGAAATTTTAAATAAAAATTAAAAGATTTTTCTTTAACAAAAAATTTTGTCGATGCAACCGAGTAAAATTAAACCGCCGATACCTATAAATAACCAAAAAAAAAAGCTCATATCACAAAACAAACACAAATTGACGACGACGACGACAAAAACCTGTTAAAACAGGTATATATACGCGACCTAAAATTAAATGACACAATATGATTTGAACAAAAACTCCTGCCGTAAAAATAAACTTTTTCAAAGTAGGTTTCATTCATTGTAAGACGTTCATCTTTCATTACACAGGCTCAAAGACACGACTTTAACTCGTACAAAATTTTACTAACGGTACCTGTACGTGATACACACGCACACGCACACACACACACACCAAATTAATATCAGATTTTTAAATCTAATTATAATATACAAAAATTGAATTCTTTTCATCAACACACACGTTTAAAAACAATCACAAAAACTTGCCAACGAATTCTCATATATAATAAACTAAATGTCATTTATTTAAAACTTATTTATAGAAAAATTATGATGTAAACGATGAAATACGGAAAAATTTTTACGTTAGGCAACTCAAGTTCCAATTTAAATAAATGCCCTCGATTGATAATAATAATAATAATAATAATAATAATAATAATAATAACGCAACTGTAAATTTTTGTTAACTTTTAATCAAAATGAAACAGTGCGACTATATAATTCTTTTTTAAATCGAATCAATTTTCTCGAGGGGGGGGGGTGGTGGGGGGAAACATTTTATAAATGTAAGTTGTTAAATAAATAGGGGGGGTTTATTTGCTTAGCGTAAAAAAAAAAATAAAAAGGTAAATAATGCAACAAGTTTACGAAAAAAATAAAAACAGTAAAAATTTTTCACGCGCCGACAATTACTTACATTACATTACTCTCTCACTTCCGGGGTTTTTTTTTTTTTTTTTTTTTTTACAACTTGCCAAACTTGAGAAAACAAGTCACTGACCTTTGTCATCAAGTAATTATTATTATTTTCTTCTCTCTTTCTCTCTCACTCTCTCTCTCAATCTTGGCACATTAAAATATTTTAGCAGATTCAAATTAATTACCACCAACAATAAATAGCCTTGACAATCACACACACACACACAAAAAAAAAAAAAAATTACATAAAAAAAACAAATCGGTTAAAAATACTAATACTAATACTAATATATATGTATTTGTTTTGGACAAACCAAATTCAAAATATTCGATTCTTATTCTTTTTTTCCGTTTACATTAAACAAAAGTTCAAATTTTTTTTTTTCTCGAATGTCAGGCGACAGTAAAGTTAGAATGAAATAAGCTTCTTATTTTCATAGAGTAATAACAATAAAACTGTTGTTTACTATATTATTGCTCTTACTAAAAATAAATGTATATGACAACTCACGATTTCCAAAGAACTTGTTTATGTATATATATGATATAAGCAATAAAGACCTTGCTAAATTTTAAATAGACAAATGTAACCTTAAATGAACAATTCACAGTTATGACTTTTGAACATGCAGAAACATTTTTTTAAATACCTTTAATTAACCAAAAAGAGAAAAAAAAAACATTTCGACTATGACCAAATAAGTACCTAACCTAAATTTATTTAACTAGAAAGGTTTAACTAATGTTATTTAATTAATTACGAAGAGAAATAAATTTGATATTATTGTATAAATTTTTGTTCGACAGGAAAATAATGATTAAAGTGTCTAATTGTAAAAAAAAAAAAAAAAAAAAAAAATTAAATGCAATTAATAAAAAAAAAA